GGGGAAAGCATAGGAGGAAAAGAAACAGGAAAAAAAAGCATTTTCATGACAAGTTTGCAGCCAGAACATGAGTGTTGTGAAAATTACCACTAAATCAAAGCCAAAATGGGAACGAAAAGACTCATATCAACATCATCATTACTAGACATGTAGATCAGGGCAAGGCCACCACTACTGGCCATCTGACCTACAGGTGTAGGGTGATCAACAACAGAACCATTGAAAAGTTTGAGAAGGAGGCTGCTGAGATGGGAGAGGGCTCCTTCAAGTATGCTTAGATTTTAGATTAGTGAAACAACAAATTATTGGTGTTAACAAAATGGATTCCATTGAGCCACCCTACAGCCAGAAGAGACATGAGGGAATCATTAAGAAAACCAGCACATACATTACAAATATTGGCTGCAACCCTGACACAGCAGCATGTATGCCAATTTCTGGTTAGAATGGTGATAATATGCTGGAGCCAAGTGCTTATATGCCTTGGTTGAAAGGACAAAAAGTCACCTGTAAAGATGGCAATGCCAGCGGAACCATGTTGCTTGAAACTCTGCAATGCACCCTACCAACAACTCATCCAACAGACAAGACCATGAGTCTACCTCTCCAGGATGTCTACAGAATTGGTGGTATTGGTACTGTGGGCTAAGTGGAGACTGGGGCTCCCAACCCCAGCACAGTGCTCACCTTTGCGCCAGTCAGCGTTACAACTGAAGTCAAGTCTGTTGAAATGCACCATGAAGCTTCAAATGAAGCTCTTCCTGGGGACTACATGGGCCTCAATTCCAAGAACGTTATCTGCCAAAGATGTCTTTCACAGCAACATTGCTGGTGACAGCAAAAATGACCCATCAGTGGGAGCAACTAGCTTCACTCACTGCTCAGGTGATTATCCTTCACCATCCAGGCCAAATCAATGCTGGCTATGCTGCTATTCTGGATTGTCAAACAGCTCACATTGCTTGCAATTTTGCTGAGTTGAAGAAAAAGATTGATCACCATTCTGGTAAGAAGCTGGAAAATGGCCCTACATTGTTGAAATCAGGTGATCTTGTTCTCATTGAAATTGTTTCAGGCAAGCCCAGGTGGATTGTGGATTGAGAGCTTCTCTGACTGTCCTTCTTTGGGTCATGTTGCTGTTTGTCTTAAGAGACAGACAATTGCTGTGGATGTCATCAAAGCAGTGGACAAGAGGGTGGCTGGAGGAAGCAAGGCCTCCAAGTCTGCCCAGAAAGCTCAGAAGGCTAAATGGATATTATCCCTATTACCTAACACCCCAGTCTTAATCAGTGGTGGAAGAACAGTCTCGGAACTGTTTCTTTCAACTAGCCATTTAAGTTTAATAGCCAAAGACCAGTTAATGATAGCAATGCCTTGTAAAATCTTCAGAAGGAAAGGAGAATGTTTTGTGAACTAATTTGTTTTTTTTTATTATTATTATTTTTCTGTTTTAGGGAGGGAAGGAGGAAGGGAGGAAGGCAGGGAGGGAGGGAAGAAGGAAGGGAGGGAGGAAGGAAGGGATGAAGGAAGGAAGGGAGGAAGGAGGGAGAGAGGGAGGGAGGGAGAGAGGGAGGGAGGGAGGGAGGGAGGGAAGGAAGGGAAGGGAAGGAAGGAATTTAAGCAATGAGAGAGACATTGCCGACCTGGATCTAGAGGTTTACAAGTTGATTTCTTTTTTTGAGAGAAGGAAAGAAAAAAAATGAGTAAAGGAGAGAAAGAAAGAGGAAGAGAGAGAGGGAGGGTGAATGGAAATATTGCTTTATTCTGAAAAAAAAATGGGTATTAATAATGGCCAATCAATGTTTCATTTAAACCTATGAGTAGGTGTGATGTGGTATTGACAAGAATGTATATTTTATGTATTTGAAGTGGAGAGCTCTATGAATATTTATTAGGTTACTTGTTCCGGATCTGAGTTTGAGTCCTTGATATCCTTATTAATTTTCTGTCTCATTGAATCTAAGTCTCTATGTATCTGGCTGTTAGGATCGTTAGCTCTTGTTGTTGTATTGATCCTTTTACCACTATATCTTTGTTGCTTTAAAATCTATTTTATCCGCTACGAGAATTGCAACTCCTGCTTTTTATTTATTTATTTATTTTTGCTCTCCATTTGGTTGGTAAATCTTTCTCCATTCCTTTGTTTTGAGTCTTTGTGTATCCTTGCATGTGAAACAGGTCTGGATGTAACATGCCATTGGGTTTTGGCTGTGCCTTTTGATTGGGGGATTTAGTCAATTTAAATTTAGGGTTACTGCCATTTGATGTTAACTGGCTCTTTGATCCATTCATTGATGAAAATTCTTCTTTATGTTGGTGCTCTTTACCTTTTGGTATATTTTTAGTAAGGCTAATACTGGTTGATTCTTTCTGTGTGTAATGCCTCTTTCAGAAGCTCTTGTAAAGCAGGCCTGGTGGTAATAAAATCTCTGAGTACTTGCTTGTTCATAAAAGATTTTATTTTTCCTTCAGTTGTGAAGCTTAGTTTGGCTGGATATGAAATTCTGGGCTGAAGGTTCTGTTCTTTGAGGATGTTGAATATTGGCCCCCACTCTCTTCTGGCCTGTAGAGTTTCTGCTGAGAGATCTGCTGTAAGTCTGATAGGCTTGCCTTTGTGGGTAACCTGACCTTTCTCTCTGGCTGCTCTTAGTATTTTCTCCTTCGTTTCAACCCTGGTGAATCTAACGATTATGTGCCTTGGGGTTGCTCTTCTTGAGCAATATCTTTGTGGTGTTCTCTGTATTACCTGGGGTTGAATATTGACCTGCTTTGCTAGTTCAGGAAAATTTTCCTGAATAATATCCTGAAGGGTATTTTCCAGCTTGGATTCATTCTCTCCTTGCATTCAGGTACACCTATCAAACGTAAATTTGGTCTTTTCACATAATCCCACATTTCTTGGAGACTTTGCTCATTCCTTTTTATCCTTTTATCTCTAATCTTGTCTTCTTGTTTTCTTTCATTAAGTTGGATTTTGACCTCTGTTATCCTTTCTTCTGCTTGAACAATTCGAGTGTTTAAACCTGTGCATACTTCTCGGAATTCCTGTATTGTATTCTTCAGTTCCATTAATTCACTTATATTCCTCTCTAAGTTGTCTATTCTCAATAGGATTTCGTCAAACCTTTTTTCAAAGTTCCTAGTTTCTTTACGTTGGGCTACAACATGTTCTTTTAACTCACAGAAGTTTCTTATTATCCATTTCTCATTATCCAAGAGTGATTCTGTCATTGGGATGCACTCGTTCTCCATCAAGCCTTGTTCTATTGTTGATGTGGAACTGTGATCATCTTTAGAGGGAGAGGCGTTCTGATTTTGAGTATTCTCAGCCTTTTTACACTGGTTTCTTCCCATCATTGTAAATTTATCCTCCTTTCGTCTTTGAAATTACCAGCCTTCAGATTAGGTCTCTTGATTGGATGTCTAAGTTGTTAGTTCCCAGGGCCAGAACAGCGGTGTTAAGACTGATGGTGCTTTTCTGCCCAGGATTCTTCTGTCTGGCTTCCTTCTTTTGTCCATAATGGGCGACTCTGCCTTCCCCGGGCTCCAAACCTCGGTCAGAAGGGGAGCCGGCCCTGTTTACTCTGTGCCGAGAGCTGCCGCGCTGAGGTGCCATCACAGCCACTGCGCCGGTCTCAGGAGTCATGCTGGGGACCCGTGTGGGTCCTCCAAACCTCGGTCAGAAGGGGAGCCGGCCCTGTTTACTCTGCTCCGAGAGCTGCCGCGCCAAGGTGCCAGGGAAGCTGCTGCACAGGCAACAAGAGTCACACTGGCGGCCCCTGTGGGTCCTCCAAGCCTCAGTCAGAAGGGGAGCAAGCCCTGTTTACTCTCCTGCGAGAGCTGCAGGGCCAAGGTGCCGGCGAAACCGCTGCGCCGGCCACAAGAGTCACGCTGGCGACCCGTGTGGTTCCTCCACTGGGGATCTTCTGCAGCGTGAGCGACCAGAATTTGTCTGAAAGTGTGGCGTCCTCTAGTTCTCTGTGCTTTGACTGAGAGCTGCAATCCCAAGCTGTTATCAATCGGCCATCTTGGATCGTTCTCCGGTTTTTTTTTTTCATGTGGCAGTTTTAAGCTATTAGTTTTCAGAATCCATAATTTCAGAATCCAGAAAACAACTTAACCAAAAATCTGTCACAGAATTTTGAGACCCATTAAGATAAAGTTTAATGAGAAAAAAAGAAAAGAAAGAGAAAAGGAAAGAAAGATAGGTGATGTGTTATGTGTTCTCACTCATAGGTGGGCGTTGGACAATTAGAACGCATGGACACACAGGGAGGGGAACATCACACACTGGGGTCTGTTGGTGGGTGGGGGACTAGGGGAGTGATAGTGGGGGGTGGGGAGGTTGGGGAGGGATAACATTGGGAAAAATACCTGATGTAGGTGACAGGGGGATGAAGGCAGCAAACCACCATGGCATGTGTGTATCTATGCAACAATCTTGCAAGAACTTAAAGTATAATGAAAAAAAGAAAGATAGGTAATGTGTCCATGGCGAAATCCTCTGTGTGTGTGTGTGTGTGTGTGTGTGTGTGTGTGGCATGATGGTGTAGAAGATGATGGTAAGACACATGAAGTTGTTCAGACCTAAGATTGGGATGAAAAGTGGAGAGATTTTCCTTCTGGTGCCAAATGGCTGAGGACAACAACAGGTGCCACCATGAGAGCCCAATGAGTCAGACAAACCAGCAACAACTTAGCAGCAGCAGAACAAGTCATCTGAGATGTGAGCCTGGTAGGACACCTAGCCATGGATATAAGCAAAATCCCCAAATCCCAGAAGACAGCACACAGGCCTGAGAGTATGGGATGAAAGCTCCCTATCCCTTAGCACAAAAATTTCCCGTAAACCCCATCAAATGCCCAGACTCCAGAAGAGGAAAGAACTGTGAAAGAATGAGCATTTACTTTAAATAAATTCTTTTCTATTCATACTCTTTTAAAATAAAATTACTAAAGGTTTCAAACATTAAAACATTAAAGAAAGTAGTGTACTGAACTGCCATATACTTTGATTCTAGAATCGAGATATTGCCATGAACACATCACCTATCTTCCTTTTTCTCTTTTTTTTTTTTCCTCATTAAACTTTATCTTAATGGGTCTCAAAATTCTGTGACAGATTTTTGGTTAAGTTGTTTTCATTAAAATTTACTGATTCTGAAAACTAATAACTTAAAACTTCGACATGAAAAAAAAAATCAAAATGGTACACAAAAGTTTCTCCTTTCCTCCCAAAGATTTGACGAGGTGTTATCATTAACCAGTCTTTTACTAGTAAACTTTAAAAACACAGTTCTGAAACCATTCTTCCACCACCGATTAAGACGGGGGTGTCACGTAGTAGGGATAATATCCATTTAGCCTTCTGAGCTTTCTGGGCAGACTTGGAGGCCTTGCTTCCTCCAGCCGCCCTCTTGTCCACTGCTTTGATGACACCCACAGCAATTGTCTGTCTCTTATGACAAACAGCAACATGACCCAAAGAAGGACAGTCAGAGAAGCTCTCAATTCCCCTGAGCTTGCCTGAAACAATTTCAATGACAACAGGATCACCCGATTTCAAGAATGTAGGGCCATTTTCCAGCTTCTTACCAGAATGATGGTCAATCTTTTCCCTCAACTCAGCAAAATTGCAAGCAATGTGAGCTGTGTGACAATCCAGAATAGCAGCATAGCCAGCATTGATTTGGCCTGGATGGTGAAGGATAATCACCTGAACAGCCAACCTAGTTGCTCCCACTGATGGGTCATTTTTGCTGTCACACACACGGCAGTTCAGATAGCAGACGGAATCTCTGAATGGCCTTGCACTCTGAATTGGCCATGAGGCACCAGGAACCTCAAGCTCTTGCTTCAAAAGCTCCTTCTGCTAATATTGCATTATAGCTCTAAGTCATGATGTCTTACTCAAGTAAATGTGTAGGTTTGTCTGGAGGATCTGCCAGGGAAAGCAGGCCACCAGCCCCGACACCCTCAGTTTTCCCAATATGCATCTGGATTTGCTATGGCAGCCCCCTGCCCAGCTCCACCACCACAATATTCAGCCCAAGAAAGCCACAAGCAAAGACACTACCCTTCTCTCCACTTCAAATCAATTATTTAAAAGTACACATTGTATTATGTAACTTTGACTCTAAATATGGAAATTTGCAGAAACCAAACATTGCCCCCAATCCTTGGCCCAGGTACATCATTTTGGATAAGTCAGAACCTGAGTGAAAAGGTAACTGCATAATTTTAAGTCTTCCAGTCCCAAGTTCATCCTTCTATCTATAGTATCTTCTTAAGCATGTCTTTACTAACATTTTTTTTTTTTGAGATGGAGTTTCACTCTTGTAACCGGGCAATGGCATGATCTTGGCTCACCGCAACCTCCGCCTCCTGGGTTCAGGCAATTCTCCTGCCTCAGCCTCCTGAGTAGCTGGAACTATAGGCACGCACTACCATGCCCAGCTAATTTTTGTATTTTTAGTAGAGACGGGGTTTCACCTTGTTGACCAGGATGGTCTCGATCTCTTGACCTCGTGATCCACCCGCCTCAGCCTCCCAAAGTGCTGGGATTATAGGCTTGAGCCACCGCGCCTGGCCTTTTCTTTACTAATTTTTAATCATACTTCCATCTATATTTAATTAACAATGGAGCTGAATGACATTCGCAGGTGTTTTCTATGTCATAGACACACTGATCTAAGTTCAGTAACCCTGAAATTAGAGATAGGGATAAGATATTAAATCAGCAGTGAGAAGCACCATGAATGAAAATAGATGCTTATTCACTGCAAAGGAATAATGATGTCTCTGCACTCTGAAATAAAAATGGTTACTAGACAAATACTTTTATTTTGTACTTAAGCTGAGAACAAATTAGATGTAAGTTCTAAATAGAAGAAATCACCATGTATCCTTTGTATTTGAAGTCTTTTTTTGTAGGTACATAGCCATGTAAACTACAAATAAATATATATTGTTGAATTAATTTTATTTGAATCTGAAGTGGGCTATCATCGGCTACCTAAATTATCTTGGAAAACTTTGGAAATAACACAAAATCTGACAAAGGAATTCAACTTCAATGTATTGTCTTTGTATGTCTTTTCAAACGAGCAAAATTTATTTTCTTCAATCTTAATATCCAGTTTCAGGCCTTCAGAGCTAAACAATTTCAGCTATACAAAATGCTATGATTAGTGAATCTGAATCATGTCCCATAAAAGATCAGTGTAACTTCTGCTTTATCCTTGGACATAATGTATTTTCCATGAAGTTAGGAACTGAAAGTGAAACTAAGCTTATCTGTTGTGTCGTTGGTTATGGTGGCCAGTTTGTTTTTTGTTTTTTTTAACCTCTGTCTTATTTGGCTGTGTCCACAGATCACGGGTTTGCCAATTTTTCATTTTCTGTGAGCCCTACCTTCCAATGGCCTTCTGAAACTTTATTTCAACATCTGTTTTCAAGATACGCTCAGGAATCCACTGGCTCAGTATTTCATGGCTCATCACTGAATTCCTAAAGGTCTTAAATTCCCTGAGATTTTGGATTCCCTGGGATTTTCTATACGCCACTGAGTTCCATACCTGTTGTATCAACTTGCATCCTTATTGTCTTGAAAACATATTAATAGGAGTTTTATATTTTTAAGTCCATTAAACATTCAGATGGCTGCAGTCAGCATCTACACCAACTCTTTTTGATCACTGGTCCAACCTTTCCTGGGTCAGCAACTCTCCACACAGCTCTTCTTATAGTGTTCCTTACCTCAGAAAATGGCAGTGTTGTTCTTCCAGTAGCTCAGACTGAAAACCTTAGAGACACCCTCCGCTCTTCTCCTTCACTCACACTCCACTTCTAGTCCATTAGTTTTATTTTCAAATATGGTTCAAATCTAATCACTGTTCACTACCTTCACTATTCCCATCTGGGTCTAAGTCAGCATCACTGCCATGTTAGATTAGTTTCCTAATAGGTCTTCATGCTTCCACCTTGAATACCCTTCCATCACTCCCAACACATGCACACCAAATTATTTACACCACAGTCAAAACAATACTATAAAATACCTTTGCTTATTGATGTAGCACATACTTCCATAGCATTAGTTTGTGCTAGGAACTGCTCAAAACACTTTACAAATATTAACTATTTTAATATTTATTCTAATCCTATGTAGCAGGGGCCATGATTCTCACACTTTACAGGAAAGAAAACAGAAGCACAGAGAAAATAATAATTTGCCCAAAGTCACCCAGCTAACAGGTCAGAAAGCCAGGACTCAACCCAGGCATCCTTAGCTCCAGACCGCATTCGCTCAAAGCATGGCCTTGCCCTGCCGGAGAACACCCATCATCTTCACATCTCACAGAGTGAAAGCCCAAGTCCCCAAAAGCTTACTAGAGTCTGCGTATCACTGGTCCACCTTAGACACACCATGCAATCTCCTATCTCAGGGTCTTTGATACGTCCTTCTGCCAAGAACATTCATCTTCCATGTATGCATTTGTCTCGCCCTCTCTCTTCCTTCAGATTCCTGAGCAAATAACAGTGAGAACTTCCCAAATTCACACTTATGCCTTGCCTAACTTCTTTACTCAGCTTTATTTTTCTCGGGAGCACTTATTACTGCCTAAATACATGCATTTGTTTGCTTTTCTCTACCTCCTCCCTTTGAAGATGTAAGCTCTATGGGGCAAAAACTTTGTTCCCTGCTGAATCTCCAGTGCCTAGAACGTAGGAGGGCCTCAATTACCATCTGTTGGGCAACTGAAGAATTATTGAATGAATCGGGAAGATGAGTGTGTAGAAGGCAAACACATTTGTGGAAGAGGAAATAGGCAATTTAGATTTTTACTCTTTCTGCCCTGCCACTTGACCCCAGTACTATTTAGCCTGACATTTTAACCCTGCTGTTTGCTTTTTGCTTCAACAGGACCCACAATAAAGAGATTCAACATATATAGATTATTAGATTTGTAATTCCATAAGCCAATCCTGAATATAAAATAATCCTAAAGTATTTTTGGAAGATTATTCAGCTTTCTTATGGTTTTAATAAAATTTAAATGTAAGGCTTTAAATTATGTATAGTTATAGTACAGCTCCTATAGAAAACAGTTTGAAGATTTAAAAGAACTAAAAATAGAAGTGCTATTCAATCCAGCAATCCCACCACTGCATATCTACCCAAAAGAAAAAGAAAATTTTCCCTAAAAGATACCTGCACTGATATGTTTATCACAGCACTATTCATAATAGCAAAGATATGGAATCAACCTAAATGTCCATCAAAGAACAATTGGATTTCAAAAATGTGATAAACACATACACACACACACACACACACACACACACACACACCGTGAAATACCACTCAGCCATAAAATATGTCTTTTGCAACAACGTGGAAGGAACTGGAGGCCATTATTCTAAGTGAAATAACTCAGAAACAGAAAGTCAAATACCACATGTTCTCACCTATAAATGGGACATAGCTAAACATGGACATAGACAGTGAAATTATAGACACTGGAGATTCAAACAGGTAGGAGGATGGCATGGGGTTTAGGGATGAGAAATTGCCTAATAGGTACAATGTACACTATTTGGGTGATGGTTACAGTGAAAAGTCAGACTTCACCACTACACAATATGTCCATGTAACCAAACAGCACTTGTATGCTGTAAAATCTATTTAAATAAACAAATCATATATAATTAATATGATTAGAGAAAATAATCAATACAAATATTCTACTCATGGGAAAACTTTTTATATTTTAAAAATAACTACAGACAGGGTCGTTGGCTCACGCCTGTAATCCCAGTACCTTGGGAGGCCAAGGCGGGTGAATCACTTGAGGTCAGGAGTTCAAGACTAGCCTGGTGAACATGGTAAAAACCCCTCTCTATTAAAAATAAAAACGAACAAAACAAAATTAGCCAGCGTGGTGGTGGACGCCTGTAATCCAAGCTGCTTGGGAGGCTGAGGCAGGAGAATTGCTTGAACCCAGGAGGTGGAGGTTGCAGTGAGCCAAGATCACGCCATTGTATTCCAGTCCAGACTGGGCGACAGAGCAAGACTACATCTCAAACGCACACACACACACAAACACACACACACACACACACGCACCCTGACTAAAACCTCTATCTTATCAATATAATTGATACTGAGGAGGAGAGAGGATATCCCCAGGGCAGAGCACCTGATTTGTCGTCTTCATCCTCGTTGCCCTCTTCCTCCTTCTTTTCCCTCCTCCAGCCAGCTCAGCCGCCAGTGTCAGACTCCGCCTTCGGAGGGCCCAGTACCCTCCAGCCGGAACCACGCAGCCGTGGCTTCCGGAGCCCTCCGGGCAGCTGACTGGCTCCCAGCGCAGATTCTTCCTAATCCTCTGGTGAAAACTGAGGCACAAAATGGCTGCAAATAAACCCAAGGGGCAGAATTCTGTCACCTTACACAAAGTCATCATGGTGGGCAAGTCAGCTCTGACTCTACAGTTCATGACAGCCACCTGTCAAAGATACATCATGTGTCTTAGGCTGATGCCACCACCAGATTTGTTTATTTGTAATTAGAGCCACTTAAAGGCCAATAAACTTCTTTTAAATATATATATATTTAAATTAAATAATAAATATGTATAATTGATACCCGCAAGAATAGAGCAAGTAATAAGTTTATGGAGAATTATGAGCCTGCCAAAGCAGACAGTTATCATAAGAAGGGAGCGCGCGATGGGGAGAAAGTCCAGATGAATATCATAGATACAGCTGGGCACGACGACTTTGCTGCAATTAGAGAAACTACTTCGTCTGTGTCTTCTCTATTAAATGGAATCCTTTGCACCTACAGCCGACTTTGCGGAGCTGATTTAAGAGGAAAAGAAGATGAGAATATTCCATTTCTACTGGTTGGTAACAAATCAGATCTAGAAGATAAAGGGCAGGTTTCTTATCATCAAAGCCCAAACTCCTTTCTTATCTTGACCATACTAATAAATATAATTAGCATTGCCGTTGAAGGCTCCATTGACTGAAATTACTTTAACATTTTGGAAATTGTTGTATGTCACTGAAGCATGAATTAGAACTGCAATGAAATTCAAATTTACTTAAAAAAGAAATTCATGTGACTTCACAAAGGAGCAAAGGTCAACTTATTTCCTAATTGCCTACGGTTATCATGGTCCTGAATCTAGCATGTGAGCTTGTGTTTCTCGGGCAGTCTTTCGTGAAATATTAAAGAGGTGAGATGGGGTGAGGAAAGGTAAGAAAGAGGTCTTCCTCTGGTGTATACTACAAAGGTCACATTTTGTATCATATTAAATGTCTTGGTCTACTGCCTTGAAAAATGACAATTGTGAACATGATAGTTAAACTGTACCACTTTTTTAAACCAGTGTTTTGCAAAATTTAGAAGAAAAAGTTATTGGCATGGTTGTTACATATAGTTAAACTGAGAGTAATTCATCTGTGAATCTGCTTTAATTACCTGGTGATTAACTTAGAAAAGTAGTGTAAACTTGTACGTGGAAATTTTTGAATATGCCTCAATTTAGAAACTGAAAAGTACCCAGTTATATAATTCTGGGTGTGTTCTTATAGCAGGGGTCCACTGTCCCATGTGTCTTGGTGAGAAAATATATTCCCAGTATGGAGTACAGATTTTGTATGGAAGATTCTTGAGAAATAACTGCCTGCTAGGAGTCTGTCCAAATTTAAAATGTGCGCCATACTCTGGTTCTTGAAAATAAGGTTTCAGAACTCTTTGATTGCTTTTAATAAACTTAAAGGTCATCTAAAATGAAGGACCAGCATATACTTGTAAGATAATTTTCGATTGCAAGGATTCAACACTGGCTGTGTTTGAATGAACTCTCTTTTCCTCTAAGATGCTCGTCCCTGGAAAGTACTTTCTGCCAGTGGTGAGCATATAAGTGTTAAGGTTTTTAACTCCTGGGAGCAGGGCACAGGAAGAAAATGTCAATAGTGCTAATGCATATTTTACTGTTGAATGAAGAATACTGTAGCTACATTTTCAGAAGTTTTCATAATAAAAACACTGCATTTTCATAATAAAGAACACTGTAACTACATTTTCAGAAGTTTTCATAATGAAAAACAGTACATTTTCATAATGAAGAACACTGTAACTACATTTTCAGAAGTTAACATCAAGCAGTCAAACCTGGGTATAGTGTAGAAAATGTGTTTGGCACACACTGACCAAACATCGGGCTGTGTCCCATTTGTGTGGTATTACTGCTGGAAGAATTCCAGCACGCTGCTTGTGGACATAATTTCAGTGGGAAACATGCCACTGTCAGATGGTTTTCTCAACTTTGCCGTGGACTACGACAGTTGATACAACAAAGTGTCTTTTTTTCCTTTTGCTCAGTCCTAATTGCAACAGGTCAAAGATGTATTCGGGCATTCCAGGCAACAGGTGTGTATGTAAAGTTAAAAATACACTTTCTAGAAACTCACTCTTTAAATATTACATCCAGCTTCTCATGTCAACTATTTGTCCTTAAAGGGTTTGAGATGTGCATCTTTCATTTTGTATTTCTTATAGGCCATGCCGTGTGCAGAATTCAAGTTATCAGTGTAACACTGACCAGCGGGCCCAGGAATCTCCGTGCATACTCATTACAGTCTTATTTAACCAGAGGTCCTAACCACTAACACTGTGACTTTGCTTTGAGACCGTTCCTTTCCTGGGTACTGAGGTGCTATGAAGCCACCTGTCAAAAATACATCATGTGTCTTAGGCTGATGCCACTACCAGATTTGTTTATTTGTAATTAGAGCCACTTAAAGACCAATAAACTTATTTTTAAAATATATATATTTAAATTAAATAATAAATATGTATAATTGATACCCAGAAGAATAGAGCAAGTAATAATTATATTTTATACAAATAAGCAATAAAAATAAAAAATAGTTAAACCTGTACATTTTAGTCACTTAAAAATATTTACATAGCAGGCCGGGCGCGGTGGCTCAAGCCTGTAATCCCAGCACTTTGGGAGGCCGAGGCGGGTGGATCACGAGGTCAAGATATCGAGACCATCCTGGTCAACATGGTGAAACCCCGTCTCTACTAAAGATACAAAAAATTAGCTGGGCATGGTGGCGCATGCCTGTAATCCCAGCTACTCAGGAGGCTGAGGCAGGAGAATTGCCTGAACCCAGGAGGCGGAGGTTGTGGTGAGCCGAGATCGCGCCATTGCACTCCAGCCTGGGTAACAAGAGCGAAACTCCGTCTCAAAAAAAAAAAAAAAAAAAAAAAAATATTTACATAGCTTTTGTAGTTTCAGGCACTGTTTTAAGAGCTTTTTTTAAAAAAGTAACTGATTTACTCTCCTAAAATATCTTATGAGTTAGATGCTAATATGATCCTTCTTCATAGATGAAAAGGAAACAGAGATGTTAAGTAACTTGCCCCAAGTGTCACAGTAAGCAGTGATGGAGCCAGAGCTGGAACTCATAAGTCTTGTTCTAGAGTCTGTTTGATGCTCTGCCTTCTTTCTAATAATCCTTTATTATTAATCTTCTTAGCAGAATTTATATCTGCAGAATTTAGCACAACCAAGTTAAACTTGTTAAAACAAGGTCATGTTTTTTTGCAGGGATGTGGATGGAGCTGGAGGCCATTATCCTTAGCAAACTCATGCAGGAACAAAACCAAACACCACATGTTCTCACTTTTAGGTGGGAGCTGAATGATGAGAACACATGGACACATGAAGGAGAACACACACTGGTGCCTGTGGGAGTATGGAGGGTGGAAGGAGAGAGAGAATCAGGAAAAATACTGGGTGCTAGTCTTAATGCCTGCGTGATGAAATAATCCACATGACAAACCCTTGTGACGCAAGTTTACCTATGTAACAAACCTGCACATATACCCCTGAACTCAAAAGTTTAAAAAGGAGACATCATGGCCACAAAAGAAAACACACAATGACAAAAGCTCAATCAGCACGGTTTGATAGGAACTATGATTTAATCATTTCCAGAATTCTAAGTAATTTCCATCAAAAAGTTGATGGCAGTGAAAACAACTTCTGAAAACTAAAATTAAAATTTTTCTTAAGAGACAAAAAGATGCCATACAAAGTAGTTATTAAAGAGTGAAACAGGTTTCATGGAGTTTCCTTTTATATACCAGCCAAGATAGACTCAGTAATGAAATGGTAACAGCAACCACATTTTAGTCTTTTGGTGATTTGAAGTGAAAAGCTTATTGATATTTATTGAAAGTCTCAACATATACAGAATCCCCATCGACATGTGACAGACATGTAGCATGAATGTCATTGTTTGAGGTATCAAGCATCTCATATTTCATTGGCCACAGCAAGTCACATGCCCAGGTCTCCCTTTAGGCAGGGTGTTCCATGGTCTGAATACTCAAAAATAGGGGAGCCACTTATTAGCAAGCAGTTAGTTCAATCAAAATTCATCAGCATGTGGTTCCCAGATAAATATACAAAATTAGCACCCTGATTACAAGGAAGACAGAGCAGCAGGAAATGCCTGCAGGGCAGCCAACCAGCATTTTCTGCCACCATAAATGCTGGCGATAATAAATGCAATGACAAAGCCAGCATTCATTAAGAGCTCAGAAAATGTCAGGCACTGTGCTTCTTATGTGTTTTCTCATTTAATTCCCAAGTCCTACAAGGCAAGCACTTTATTGCCTATGTTACAGAAAGGAAAACTGAAGAACGAAGAGTAAAACACTTCCGCAGGTCTTAGAGCCCGTAAATGTTGAGGCTGAGACAAGAAACTAAGCAGTCCAATCAATCTCCACTCTTAGAACTATGCCCTCATTGTGCTTCCCTTCTGATTGCACTCGATTCAGAGCATACAGCACTTTATCTCTGGATATTGCAGGCTTTGCAACAGTATTCATCTGTGGATCTTGAGTGCAAAATAGACTTTGACCCTGGTGGTTTAGCTATAACTGGAAAGGACAACTTCCACAAAATTTTCTCATAAAGCCCGTTGCCAAGATCATTGAGAACAGCATGTGCTTTTCCAGATTACAGTGATAAGAAGCTTGATGTCGCTGGGAGCCGCAAGTCCTGATGAAGCAGCACTTCTGTAGGAGAGGGACATTTCCGCCGGCCTCTGCTGAATCCTGTGCTTTGGCTTCTTCGGGAGGAACTGGCTGAGACTACTGGAAAGCCACATCCATGGGATTCATGTTGTTGGAAAGGCCGTCAACAGGAAATGGTCAATTGATTTCCCTAAACCCAGGGAGCTTGCAGAGGGGCACTGCTGCCATTCTGTCTGGACAAAGCCATGCTATCTACTCACTTGAAGACTATAAGACCCCATCCATTCTAAGGCAAGAATAATTGAAGAAAAAAGAATCTCTACCTAAATAAGTTGTATTCAAATAATTCATCTACACCTGGAAATTTACACCAATCATACCAAAATAAAATATAGCTAGTAGAGCGTTGGTGTCTGATGAGCTGTAAATCTC